ATACTCGAGAACCGGTCTAATAACAGTGCAGTAGAAATTAACAATATCACAAGCAGGGACGTTAGCACGCTTGAGCAAGATCAAGAAATACAAACGTTTATTCAATGAATAATTCAATAGACGGTGGATGTAAAATGAATAATTAAATAGACGGTGGATATGTAAACAATAATTTGCAAGGCCTTCCAAAAGATAATCCAAAAAAATAGGAGGTAAAGCACGAACAGCAGATGATATCAAAGCAGACAGTACCATTAGTAGATAGACCAGTATATGGAAGTTTGATATACAATAAAGTACTTTATACACGCGGGAAAATTTAAAATACTGTTACTAAGCGACGAATAACAAAAGCTGTGAAAGCCAACCGTCAAAATATGTAGGGCAATGAATAATTCAGGATTACAACACAAATACGCTGGTTGAACTTGAAATGAGCGTTGCACCAATAAAATAAAATTTTTCTTTATGTTTCCGTGATCAGTTCAGCAGTGATATCAAACGTAAAATCAAACTAATCAAGAGATAACGCTGTCTGTAATCTTATATGACTCAGACGATGACTATAAAACAATCCACGAATCACGATAAATGTATCAAACGACGAGTTTCCAACTCAAAGAATATATCCACGGAACAAATGGAATGTTTAGAATAATTTAATTATTCGGAGGTCAGCAGTAACCGGCCTGCTACCTCGTAACCTGATATATGAATATGCAGGTAATTACTATGCAAGGGGGCGCAGGGGGCCGCATCATTAGCATAGAATGAGGTGGCGCATTATCATTAGCATAAAATGAGGTAGCGCATCACATTAGCATAGAATGAGGTGGTGGATCTCATGTGGGGTGTGTTCACTTTTGAGGTGGAGGAGGGTGCGCACGCATGGCGTCATAATGATATGCAAGGCGGAGATCTTAGGATATCATATCTTAGGATATCATACAGTATCTTAGGATATCATACAGTGTCTTAGGATATCATACAGTATTTTAGGATATCATGCAATATCTTAGGATAGCATACAGTAATACAGTGTCTGAGGATATCACACTTTTAGGATATCAATATCTTAGGATATCATACAGTATTTTAGGATATCAATATCTTAGGATATCATACAGTATGATAAGATACTGTATGATATCCTAAAATACTATGTGATATCCTAAGATATTGATATCCTAAAATACTGTGTGATATCCTAAGACACTGTATTACTGTATGATATCCTAAGATATTGCATGATATCCTAAGATACTGTATGATATCCTAAGATACTGTATGATATCCTAAGATACTGTATGATATCCTAAGATCTCCGCCTTGCACATCATTATGACGCCATGAGTGCGTACCCTCCTCCACCACACTCTACCACACTCCGCCTCAAAAGTGAACACACCCCACATGAGATCCACCACCATTCTATGCTAATGACGATGCGCCACCTCATTCTATACTAATGATAATGCGGCCCCCTGCGGCCCTTTGCATAGTAATTACCTGCATATATAATGATGCGGCCCCCTAAAAGTAAGGCCCCAACGGCCTGTATATTACCACTAACATAGATAATGAGTTATATTGGTATTCTAATGAGTTTCCAAACCATCTATTCTATTAACTATGCTGGAAGTTAGAAGCCAAGTTACTAGCCATGTTACTAACTTCTACACGAAGGACCTTCGCCGAAACGTCTTAGTTGCATGTATTTGTCAGTTGAATCGCTCTCAATCCGCAGCTCTCTTCATTAATCAAAGTTAACTGTTAGATTTCAGTCCAAGTGTATACAGATCTAGTCTGGAAATTGATTAGGTGCAATGCTCACTAATTATTCATACATTCCAGACTCTGTACTTTTAATATGATTAAATAATAAGGGACCGACCATTAGAAAAGTGATACCGGGGAGGGGGGGGGGGAGTGGAGGTGAGCCATTTAGTTTGCTCAATCGTGGTTCATAAATATTGTTTAGAAACGTCATGAGCAAGAACTGGTCGATGTTAGGAATAGAATACAGGAAGGGCAATCACAACTAGACAATCTCCTGCCGCGGTATAACAAACTGAAAACAACAGAAGAGGAGTGTACTCAAAGGTAGAGTAAATGTTTTATTAAATTGGAAACCCAGGGGTCGGTTGCACGAATGTCGGATAACGCTATCCACCGCCGTTGGGTTAAGAACCACCTGTGTGAAATTTAGGTAATTAGGCAACTAAAATACGAGAACCACTTCAAACTGACGAGTGAGACTAGTTTTCAAAAACCTTCGAATGCCGGTTCTAAGGGGCAAGCGTTGACAGATGTATGCTTGATTTACCGTTGCAAATGGAAAAGAATAATCAGTTGTTTGGTACTGAACATGCATACATTTCGGAGGCTTATAAACAGCGGTTATTAGTATAACACTGTCAACAGCTCGCTAATTATAGGGAAACAAATAATTTAAAACACTAAACTAGGAGGAAGGAACAATTGTTTTTGACCAGAAATAAGAACCTGTTAAGAACCAACTCAACCTGGTTTCTCACTGAGTACCTATTATATAAGAACCACTTCAGCCTGACACAAAAATAGTGGTTCTTTTATGCGGGGTTTTACTGCATATACAGTACATGCAAGCCTACAAATAATTGTTTTCTTTGAATTGGAAAGACAAATGTAAAAATTTTCATATCTTTTTGAAAATAAGCATGACGTTTTTCGGCTGGTCACGTTATTCCGCACTGCAATGCATCTACAACTGATGATATATTTGCTGCCGTTGGCAGCACACTCATCTCGACAACTGATTTTGACGTAATGACTCGTGCCAGTTTCCTTGACCGAGTTATAACAATGCAGCTTGAATCAAAATATAGAAGAAATTTGGATTTCTGTCACTCGGTAATTGCTCGTAAGTCGCCGCAAAGCTCTCGCTCTGTACTTTCCGCCATGATGAAAAATATAACAAGCAATAATTTCTTCACAAATAAAAGACAATAATTTCATTAGAAAATTATTTTTCGGTTCGCAGGTAAGTTTTAGCCAATTATTAGTATACGGTGTTGACAATGTTTACTTATTAGTAATAAGTTTATATTGACCGTTTAAATATCATGACAGAATGGTGCAGGCATGTTCAATGTTGGCAAATGTTGTTGTGATTTACGAAGAAAAACGTGAAAATGATTGAAGACTTGATATTAAGGCTCTGCTCACAGGCACAGGGTATATAGCTATTAACTCAACCACGAAGGAATACATCGAAATGACGTATAGTGTTGTATAGTGTCATATAGTCTTGTATAACGTTGTATAGTCCAGTCCCAGACCCTCTTCTGGCCGCACGGCGCGGCGGAGAAGTGGAGTCCAGAAGAATTTGCATGCGCATGCGTCAACTTGTCCAATCAATACCCTCGCGATTGATTTCCGGAAAAGGGAAAACCCTTACACCTGTTCAACGCGCACAAAAACGTAAACAACTCAAAGAAATATAAAATGTCAACCGAAGTTCGATGTCGAATATACAAGTGACTCTGTCCGCCCGCTAGGAGAAATGCACTGTTCAGTGCAGAAGGTGATTATACACCAAAGCGATTCTCTTTTTTAAGGTATATAGTTTGTCCATCAGGCGAGATAAGCCTGAACTGGACTGTCTCGCCGTTGCTGCCGAAATTGCAGAAATAATGCAAATAGGGCCGTAGAAAATTAAACGTTATAAAGAAAATATTAGCCCCTGGGAGAAAAGAAAAACAATACAAGTCTCGCCAAATTCGATTAGTTATCCACCATCGAAAAAAAGCGTCTTGACAAAAGAAATTGTCGATTTCCAGCCAGATCATTGCAGTTTTCCAACGACAAAGATATTTAAATGTTGACCCGAACGTTTGTGTTCCATACGAAATGCAAAACTGCTGTAATATTAACAAAAAACTCTAGCCTTTTGCCGGAGAAATATGCAAGTACGTAACTGAAATCGGTGTTTAAAACAGTTGCTGGTATGATATCCAAAAAATTTTCAAGTCGCAAATACTATTGTTATAATTAGAAAGTATAAACTTGTCAATTACAACACGATAATTAGGATCGGTGAGTTTGATACTAGATATTCCTCGTTCGGCCATTTAGCCATCTCATCATCCATGGGAGAAATCAGTGGTGAAATCAAAACAACAACAGATGACCGGCAATCGTTGTCAGGTTATGATCGCAAAGCATCGCAAACATGGAAAGAGCGTGTTAAAGTGCCTATATCATGGTTTTGGAGTTTGCATATCTCGAAAGTTTAGGGTATTTTAAGACACTTTGCAATATATTTTGTTATTGAAAAATTTCATCTTGATGGATTTATTAGCTCGTAAAGTTACCGGACATGACGTCAAAAGGAGAATTGCAAATCAGTTTTCCTTTGTATCATTGCAACAAAATTCTCCTTTTGACGTCATGTCCGGTAACTTTAAGAGCTAATAAATCCATCGAGATGAAATTTTTCAATAACAAAATATATTGCAAAGTGTCTTAAAATACCCTAAACTTTCGAGATATGCAAACTCCAAAACCATGATATAGGCACTTTAAGCAACAACGAATACATCTTTACCACGGGACAGGTAATAGATCACTTGCAATTGCTCAAACTTTGGCACAAAATTATATTTATACATTTCCATGGCAAACTTAACAGCATCAACGAATTTTTTTGCCAAAAATATGGAGAAATTTCTCAGTCAGCACTACACGAGTATCCCAATTTTGCTTCGACATTGCGGATTTTACCTTATAGTAAACAGAACTTAGCGAACTGGCGACCTCCACATACATGTGGTGGTAGTTGACGCATGCGCATGCAAATTCTTCTGGACCCTACTTCTCCGCCTTGCCGTGCGGCCATAAGAGGATCTGGGACTGGACTAAACGTTGTATAGTCGTGTTTAGTCTTGTTTATAGTCTTGTATAATAGTCTTCTATAGTGTAGTATAGTGTTGTATGTACTATTTAAAACACTCGTTGTCGTGTTTTATCAGATATAAAACGCGAGGCGCAGCCGAGCGTTTTATATCTGATAAAACACGACAACGAGTGTTTTGAATAGCTTAAAATACGACTACAAAAGAATACTAATTAGGATGAACCATAATATAATCATGCTAATTAAGATGAACAATTATATAATGCCACATGTGTTTTATCAGATATAAAGTCACTCCACGTGACATATTATGGCTGACATGATTTGCCACAAGGTTTATGAATTATTAATGAGTATTTTAAGTACTATTTAAAACACGAGTAGGAGTGTTTTATCAGATATATAACGCGAGGCGCAGCCGAGCGTTATATATCTGATAAAACACGACAACGAGTTTTTTGAATAGCTTAAAATACGACTACAAAAGAATACTAATTAGGATGAACCATAGTATAATCATGCTAATTAAGATGAACAATTATATAATGCCACA